GCATGCTTTACACTTGGCAAATTGTTTAAAGAAGGGAGAGAAGAAATAGAAGTAAGACCTGGGCTGCAAAAGAAAAGTTAATTCTTTTGTATTAAGACAGTAAAATCTCTGAGAGGTGGCATCACAAGCATGATAACCACTTCCACCTTTTCTAGTTTTTCATTCTACTGCATTCAGAAACTGGCACTCCAATGGCACAAACTTTCTGCCATTCAAACATACATTACAATGGAGCATTCAAGAAATACCCATCTGAATTTCTCAGTGAAGCATAGTTAAAATATGATCAGCAAAGATCATATCTTTGATTATATGCCCTTTGTCACAGTACAGGACCTGAGGTGTACAGAATGTTGCATGGGAAGATCAGCTTTATTGAGGCTGTAATTTAGAGAGTTTGTTGATTAACTGATGCCAGAGGAAAATAAAGGTGCATCTGAAAATGAAAGTACTTCTGAGTACATCTGAAAACAAAACTGATGGGCCCTTGATTCAAGGGATCTAATTAGGAAGGCATGACAAGTTCAAGTGATTAAAATCCTTAAGAAAACTCTTACTCCTGCAGGTGTCCAACAAATCTATTTGACAGCAGGAGGCTAGTCTTAATTTGGACATACAATACAAGTCGATCTTGCTAAAGTAGAAAAGGCACAATAAGAGAAATTGCTTTCCAGATGAGATGAAATTGCTGGCTCACTTGAGTAACTTTGGTGGAGACAAAATTACACCATGATAACATGGCTTGCTCTTTGTCATATTACATCCTGAACCCCCAAGGGGGAGCATGACTGATTCCCTCAAATACCTGCTATATCCACACAGTGGTTTGGAGTTACTCAACCTTGGTGTCTTTTAATACACACATTACTCACTTTTGAAAAATTACAGTGAAGCTAATCTGATGAATCCATAGCTGAATTAAGAACCTGGTATTACATCTCACCTTGTGTCTGGAGTATAACAAGCCAACATCGTCATCAGCATCTTTTGATAGTTCTGGGATATTGTGATAGAGGAAAGAAGAGAAATAATGAATTATCAGTATAGTAAAGCATTTCAGTATGAACAATTGGGTTTAAAAGCTACATATAAAACGCCTGTCTCTGTGCTTTTCCTTCAAATATGCCCCAATATGTATGACTGCAACTGTGAGCATGTTTTTAAGATAATACAGAAAAGCACTCAGAAAGTAACAGCTAAGTTCCATTCAGCAGATCAAAATGCCACTGTAGGAATCTCCCGTTATTACCCATTTGATAACTTTTTGGCAGCAACTTTGCTTCATGAAAGCCTCTGAATAGCTGGTGTTCAGACAGAGAATTGTACAAACCTAGGTTGGATTTGAACTGTTTATTTTGATGTAAAAATCCCTGACATTGTATAAATTATGTGGGTAATACTCCAAGGCCTTCCACAAGGATTTCAAAATACTGTAACTTCACTCATGAGCTTATTAAGTAAAAACAGAAGAAAGTCTTACAGAATAAATAGAAGCAAGTCGTGGAGTGACCATGGGTTTATCCCATAAAATTCTGTTGACCTAACTAAATCTATGGTGGTCTCTTTACTTCAGGAATCCTGAGATGTACTGGAAGTGTCAGTGTTTAGAATGGGTAGATAGAACATAGATCCTGTGTCGCTCTCCAATACATGCGGTTGTCTTATAGTTTTGTTTCCTTCCTTCCTCTGGAAAGGAAAGATTTTAATTTCTCAGTGGGGAAAAAATATATGACCAACATCTGCCACACACCTTGCCTGTGTGTTTATAATCATATTTTTGATGTTAGGAAATGTTGGCATTACCTGCCCTCAGCAGGAGTTGATCCAATTTTAGAAATAAAAATTGATAGTGTGAAAGTAGAAAACCAATAGGAAACTTCCTCTGCCTCCAGTTCTCATAATGATATATTTAGGGTCCTTTATGATTTATTTTGCAATTCTATTTTACTCTTAACCTTGATCAGGCTCTGAATATACCTCGATTCCTGACCACTAGGTTACCTTGCCTCCAATTTATGGTGTTATATTGGTTAAACAAGAGATGGTGGAGTTGATCTTCCTGTTACCTTTCTTCACCAGCACTACCATTAGCAGAAAGATCAGAAAGGCAGTTAGTTATCTTGTGGGAGAAAGGAGATTTTTTTTTTTTCTTCCCCTTTCCGCTGTAGGAAGAAATGTTTCATTAAAACAGTAGAGAAAAATCTACACGTGTCAACAAAGAATCAATGCGTACCATAAAACAGTCACATTCAAAGGTGAAAGTGCAGTACATTTGAAAACAATGCATCTTCTATCTCTTAGTATCTTGTCATATAATATTAATGTCATTTTCTACTTGCGCTTGAATTTCGTTTGGTATTGGGGTTTGCAGGCTGCGGGGTTATTGGTGGTGGATTTTTTTCATTTGGTATAAATTAATAACAGAGCAAATGCAGCTGGCCAAGTAAGATTAGATAGCCACTGTTTATCACTATAGTGTTTAAAGAGAATCTTGTTCTGGGAAATTCTGGGATTCCTTTCATGCTTAGTGCAGAATTTCTCTTTGTTCTGGATACTTTTTAATTGTCATGTACTAGCATGGAAGATAAATATTCAAAACTAAATATAAAGTTTGTAGTCTTAAAAAATATATCCCTAGTGAAGTTGTTAAACAATTTTGAATGCAAGTTCCTTTTTGACAGCAAAATTAAGTTCTGTGATTGAATTAAAGTGTATGAACCAGAGGAGAGCTATTTGTCCACAGTTTTACTAATGTCCTAACCATCTAGCTGTGTTTTCCTTTTATCTCTCTGAAAATCGTATACCTTTCATGCTGACCATCTTGCAATCTGAAAGTACCTGTTTAAGGCAAGCCAATAAATGAAAGACTTCAGTGGCTGAGCTTGTCCTCGCCTCACATAAGAATGTTCTCTGTGGCTTTAACATTCCTCAGAGAAATTCTTTTGTGATGTATCCGTTAAACATTGAAATGTTCTGATCGTTGTTACTCCACAGGGTGCTCTTAGTTACTGTAATACCACCATTCTTTAGATGTATACTTGTCACCCATAGCTTGCAATATTTTCACAATAATACAAAACCTGCCATAAAGCAAGTAACGTAGTGGAATATTCTGGTGGAGGAGAGAGGGATTTCACAATGTGTTTTACAAATTAGCAGTTTTGTTCTTTAGTAGATCAGGAAGTGACAAATTCAAGGATTGCAGCATCTGCAGTGTAATGGTGTATGGTACACTCTGAAGTGTAAACATTTTGACTTGTTTTTAAGGTTGACTACTGAGGCAAAACTTGTGGTGGCTTCCAAAAAAACATTGTGTGTCTTACTGATGGTACTTGTTCTAGTTTAAATGCTTTTAAAGTATTTCCAGGAACGTATTGTTCTTTAACACAGGTAATACGGCTTCTGTGGCCTGCCTTTCTGGGGGACAATGGTTTTGGTTTTGTAAATTGTATTTAAAAAAAAAAATAAAGCTTCAACACTTTTCTAGTGTTCCAAGAATCATAAAAATGCTGAACAAGTTTCTGAATCTGACAGAAAACAATACTGGCTCTTTGCTGACCATAACAGGTCAGCTGTCGGGCAGCTTCTTCTCCTCACATGTTCAGAGTACACAGATACACTGAAACAACTGGTTTGTGACTGGGAAGTCATAATTCCAGTTGGTTTATACAGAGCTACTTACTGAGCAGGTATTTTTCCTGAAGTAGATGACAGGAAAATCTTCAAATTAAAAAATGTATCAAAAATGTATGATTAAAGGCACTACGTGTCTGAACATGAGCGCTTCCTGCTTCTGGCATCAGTGCTCTGATAGGAAATGTTCAGGTCGCAAGTTTAGAATTGGCCATCCTTGAATTTATTTAGTATATGCTCAGACTTGCAAATAGAAATCTCTTCACAAGCTCAGCAATTCTTTGGAAGCCCAAGTATTTGTTTATGTAGATCTTGCATAACTGCTTAGAGCAGTGATGTTGGGGCAGAATGTTTTATGTGTCTGCCTTTTGTCTTCCTGTGATTATTGTGTGTCCATCTTAATGCCTGTTTTATTTCATTTTAGCAACTGGAAAAAAAGGTTTTAAAGTATTTTTATTTACAGATAACTCAAATTCAGATGACATCATGATGGAGACCAAACTGTAAAAATCTCTCAGTTGCTTTTGTCATAGGAATACTCTGTAACAGGTTGACTTTAGCTGTGTTCAAATTGTGGACAAACGCCCACCACAGAAAGTTTTTCATTTTGACTGTCTTACAGAATATGCAGTTTCATTCGTTTCCATCACATACTTACAGGTAACACTGCTCCTTTTCCTATTCCTCTTCATTTTATACATTGTGATGTGTTACACATGTAAGAATAATGTCATTATCACTGAATGAGCATAATCACAGAATCACAGAATCTTCTAGGTTGGAAGGGACCTTAAAGATCATCTTGTCCAACTGTCAACCTAACTGACAAAAATAGACACCCACACAACAAACAAGGAGCGTCATCACTAAACCATGCCTCCCAGCACTTCATCAACCCATCTTTTGAACACCTCCAGGGATGGTGCCTCAACCACCTCCCTGGGCAGCCCATTCCAATGTCTGATAACCCTTTCAGTGAAAAAAATTTTCCTAATATCCAGCCTGAACCTACCCTGGCGTAACTTGAGGCCATTTCCTCTTGTCCTGTCGCCTGTGACTTGAGAAAAGAGACCGCCCCCCATCTCTCTACACCCTCCTTTCAGGTAGTTGTAGAGAGCAATAAGGTCTCAGAGTATTTTTATAATGGATACCACAGTATTGAGTGACTCTGATTCATCTTCTAAAAGATTAATTCAGCTGTGAGAACAAAGCAAAATATAGTCTTCAACATTCTCTGTTTGTTATGAGTGTTCTGATAGGAAATGAATGAATGAATGAAATGTAATAATCCTAATGCAGAGCTAACTACCTATTACCAAGCAGCCAAGACAGTATTAATCTCTTGGGCCACAGTAGTAGAACTTCCATGCTAGTAAGTGCTTTCTGAGTTGTTCAGTCATTTAACGTTCCTAAGCAATACCATTTGTAATTGGGTTTTGGTTTTGTTTTTTCAGAGTCAAAGGCATTGTTAGTTGAGGAAATAGATCATGAAGTATCTACCCATTTCTAACTGGCTGGCTCAGCTTGGTCTTGCAGAATATTGCATGCTTTTTCAACAATATGATGGCATAGAGGTAAGAATTTGGCTTTTTCAATAAAATTCTTGAGAAAATGTCAAGCAAGATGATATATTGCAAGTAATTAATGTTCATGATACAATGTTGGAGCAAAAAACCTAAAAGCTGATGGTTTGTTTTTGTCTTAGGAAAGGGAAGGTAAAACCAACGTGTGTTGTAGTTGTGTACTAAAAATCACAAAGAGAAATTACTTAGACTAAGAAGTCATTTACTGGTGAGCTAGATAAAATGAACATTTTACTATTTCTAATGCTGGACTGTCTCAGATTGTAACAAATGGACGTGTCCACCAAAGCAAGAACAAGTAGATAACTTTTGTTCTGCAAAAGTTAACAATTAAGTTTCTTTCTTAAAATTCAGAACTAGATAAAATATGAACTTACATGCCAATTGTTATATGAAGTTGTTTATGGGTAAATGGATACTATGTGGTTTAAGAATAATCTTTCTACTGAGCAGATACCACATTACAGAAAGACCGTACATCAGTTGTCTTGATGATCCCTAGAAATGTATTTAGAAATTAAGCCCCTTTCCCACAGGTCTCACTTGATCAAAATTTCCTCTATTGTCCATTTTATGTTTTCAGTTCTTATCATCCATGTACAAACTTACTGACTTTTACATACTATAGCATCAATTAAATGCTGCTTTGATATGTTTTAATTCTGTCATGCTATATTCCTAATTCAGGAAATAAATGTAAAAAATGCAACTGAATATTCCCATCAACTCCAAATATACTTTGATTCACTTTTAAACAATTTTTGTTTTGTTTTTGTTTTTTTTGGCAGTAATCAATGTTTCATGAGGTGGTGCTAAAGTTTATTTAACATTGGCTATTGTGTCACAGAGTTCATAGTGAGTGTCATGGTAATCTCATAAACTAAGTAAAATAAAAATAAAAGGATTTTTATCCTTTTATTAAGTCCTAGGAAAAGGACAGCATTTTCTACTCTCCCAAGTGGACTCAGTCAGTAAGACTTAGAAGCATGTTGGAAAACATGTTTCACACTACCGTTATAACACAGAAGACAGCAATACAGAACCATGGGACATCTGTTTTGACAGTCAATGAACAAACAAAAAAAACCTGCAGCAAAGAGAATTTACAGCTTGCCGAGCATGAAAGCTGCCTGTAAAAAGTTTTTGCTGAAGTCCAAAACTTTAAAATAGGCTTAGTGCATCGTTCAGGATACAATGGACTTCTTTTAAGCTCAAGGCCATGAGTCAGAATTTCAGTTTTGGAGTATCTGTAGATATATCGTTATATCATGTCTTAGTTCCTCAGCCAAACTGGATATTTTCCTGAGACAAACTTTAATTTGAGAAAGTGCCTGACTATGCTGATTTCATATGCTTACTGACCTGTTTAATACTAGACATATGCTTAAGAACCATGTTGAACCAAGCTTCTAAGTTCTTGAAAGTTTAAGTAATTGCCTTTGATGTCTTCCACTTTTAAAAATAATTACTAATAACTATTTACACTGGGTTTTTTATCACTGCGGTAGAAGGTATGATTATATCCATTTTGCTGAGGAGGACAGTAGTGCACAGTTTCCCGAGTTAAATTGTTCTCAGCTAAGTAGTAAATTTGTGGCAGTAGAAGACACAGTTCTTGGGTTTCAGTCAACTGCTCTAGCTAGTTCTGAAGCCAGACCAGAAAGTGCTTGTGATCTTGAATGAAGAAAGAAAACTTCAAGGCGTGAGACTGTTCTCCCTTACAAATAAAATTTCCACATATTAGTGTTGTCTGCTGCAAAATGCAGCAAGTTCTTTAAAGCTACTTAAAAAAAACAACACCTAAATGTGTCTATAAAAGCTCCCACTGTGTTAGCCTGAGCATATGCTGTTCAGCACTGGAGTTGACATCAACCCTCTTAGCGTTCCTCCTTACAAACTTTTTGCTTAAGTTTGAAGAGCATTTATCATTGCATTTGTACTTCTTTGTGTGTTTTTTCTTGGAGGATGATTTTTGGGGCTTAGGGGTGAGGGTGTTGAAGTGTTTTGAAAGAAGCAGAGGGGAGCCTCTCTCAGTGTTGCCAAAGCCAAAAATTCCTTTGTACTGAAATCTGAATTCATCATTAGTTCCAATGTTTGCATGTAAGTAAACCTAGAGAAGGATAAAGTAAGGGTAATAATTATTCAACACCCTTCTTTCATGTCATTAGATACGTATGAGGTATCGTTTGAGAAGCACTTAATTTGACTTTCTCTGGCATTGCTAAATTTCCCTAAGAGCTTTTGAAATAGTTATAGCTAGTGACATAAAAAATTGAGGCTTTCAGCAATTAGAATGTCATGCTTTTGCAGTGGTTTTAGTTTGAAAGAAAGATTTTAAAATTACAATTTCAAAAACAGTAGCTCACTTAAAGTAGAAATTCTGTGTCAATTTTCTTATTTACATAGCAAAACAATGTGATTTTTGTATTTTAGGGTCCTAGGCCCAACTTGTCAAATCTCCATTAGAAAGGGCCACTTTCAGTAATATGACTTGCCAGTAACAGAACGGAATACATTCTATGGATTTCTCTTTATCTGGTTTACAGTGAAAATACAGAACAGTAAAACTAAAAAGAAATAAGCTTGAACATAAAATTTCTGCTTTGGATGTGTTTTCTTTTTGCTCAGAAAGATGTGATTATCAAATAAAATTTTGTACATACTTATAAATCAACATAAAATTGAAATTTTGTACTGACTTATAAATAATGCCTGGAGTTATTAAGCAGCTTATTTTGAAAGTAAAACAGTAACAATTTCATGAAGAGAAAGATTGAGGGTAAATTTCCCAAATACATTATCTGGAAATTCATGTTCTTTAAAACAGTGTGACAACCCATGCTATCTAGTAATTACAGTGAATATCCTCTTGATTGTCCAAACCCCTTCTTTCCCATATTATTATGCCCCTAAGTTCACTGTGAGATTTATCTTCCTTCATTAGCTTAAGTGCAATTAGCATACTGGAACTTTTGGTTGGTTTGGTATTTTTTTTATTGAAAGGAGTCATAGCTTTTAGAAACTCTCCAGATATCTTGACCAATTTTGTTTTGAGAAAAAAATTTAGAGACAATGAGTTAATTTTAAAAGGAAAAATTCCTCATCCCTTCAATGTTATACCTTGTCATGACAAAAGGGCCTCATATAACACATAAATATACTTATGTTTGCCGTTACATAGCTTGCGGCATTAGAAACAGCAAACCTATCTGAAAGAAATTTGAATTCTCCTGGACTAATAGGTATAGTATGTTCCTTACTCTGGCTACAGGACTTACTCCATCTTACAGAAGTTGATCTTAGAAAAATGGGAATTGAAAATCAAGTCCACCGAGCACACATCATATCCAATATCCTGCTGCTTCAGGAAGTAGAAAAAAAGAAAGGTAAGATTTCCATGTTGTCTCCTAAAGACTTAAGAGAACAAGTTAAGGCAACCCAAGCTTTCTTGTCACAAAGAAATGATAACTAATACTTTGATTCAGACTAGGATACTGCTCTGAATACACAGGGATACTTTACATAGACAAGAAGAATGGCTAAACATTGATCTTTTGCCAGGGTTTTAAAAAATAATACAACCTGTACTTTTTTTTTAGTTGTCATCATTTGGAAAAGGCTCCACTTTTCATTTCACTTTCTATTGCTCTCACAGTCTTCTGCTTAAAAGATGTGTTAATGTTACCAGACCATAATTGGTGGAAGGCTGTGTCACAATTGTCTTCTTCACTTGGAAAGATTGTATCAAAAGGTGTAAACCAAGCTATTTTGTGTACATGCCACCTCATCCCTAGCAATGAGAGAGGAAGAGTACTTATTCAGGCAGTGAATAACTGACCCTCCTTTTTCATTTGGAACTCTGCTATGAATTAAGACTTGACCACTACATCTTTTCTTGCTTTTATCAGTTCAGTGTCAAAATTCAACTCTAGTTCATGAGAGTTGGAAGAATCATAGAATGGTTAGGGTTGGAAGGGACCTCAAAGATCATCGAGTTCCAATCCCCCTGCCATGGGCAGGGACACCTCCCACTAGAGCAGGTTGCTCAAGGCCCCATCCAGCCTGGCCTTGAACACTTCCAGGGATGGGGCATCCACAACTTCCCTGGGCAACCTGTTCCAGTGTCTCACCACCCTCATAGTAAAAAATTTCTTCCTGATATCTAATCTGAATCTTTTTTCTTCCAATTTAAAACCATTTCCCCTTCTCTTATCATTACACTTCCTGGCAGAGTCCTTCTCCAGCTCTTCTATAGGCACCCTTCAGGTATTGAAAGGCCGCTATAAGGTCTCCCCAGAGCCTTCTCTTCTGCAGGCTGAACAATCCCAGCTCCCTCAGCCTGTCTTCATAGGAGGGGTGCTCCATCCCTCTGATCATATTCGTGGCCCTCCGCTGCACCTGTTCCAGCCGGTCCATGTCCTTTCAGTGTTGAGGACTCCAAAGCTGGACACAGTATTCAGGTGGGGTCTCACAAGTGCAGAGTAGAGGAAGAAGCCCTGTAAGACGTTCTGTTCTGTGTGGAGAGATATAGTGAGTTGTTAGTCAACTATGACTTACTGTACAGGATAGTTTGAAAATAGTTAACAAGATAGAAGTATTATGCGGTCTGCCCAATAATTCTAAAGACCACTGCCTAAGGCTTTTACAAATATAATGTGAAGCAATTATTTACTTGGCTAACATTCCTGCTTTTGCCCTCTCTTGATCAAAATAAAAAGACTTTTGGAGCATGCATAGAAATTGAATATTCATAAAGTGGATTTAGCTACTTTTAACTTTTCAGAAGAAACTAGAACTGATTGTGTACAGGTAGATCATTGTATTTTTGTAATGTTTTCTCTGGAGTCAAAATTGGTTTAACAATTACCTTCTACAATTCATTAGTTTAAGTTTCTTTAAAAACAATATAAACAAAATACAAATATATAAAAATATTTTATAAATTATTATATTGTAATATAAATATAAAAAATAAATATAAAAAAAGAATATAAATATAACATTTTTGTAACCACTACTGTGAACAGATTAGGAAACTATTCATCTAGTTTCACTGCAGTAATCAACTTGTATTTCAATTAGAATCTATTTTCATGTGGCTTTGGGACTACATTTTGTAACCTTTTCAGGTACTGGAGTGAGGGCTTGGTACTGGGACCCGTTCTCTTTAACATATTTATCAATGATCTGGATGAGGGGATCGAGTGCACCCTCAGTAAGTTCACAGACGACACCAAGCTGGGTGCGAGTGTCGACCTGCTGGAGGGTAGAGAGGCTTTGCAGAGGGATCTGGACAGGCTGGATTGATGGGCTGAGACCAACGGGATGAGTTTCAATAAGGCCAAGTGCCAGGTCCCTACAGGCTGGAGAGCTGCCTGGCAGAAAAGGACCTGGGGGTGTTGGTCAACTGTCGGCTGAACATGAGCCAGCAGTGTGCCCAGGTGGCCAAGAAGGCCAATGGTATCCTGGCCTGTATCAGGAACAGTGTGGTGAGTAGGACTCAGGAGGTGATCTTCCCCCTGTACTCAGCACTGGTGAGGCCCCAGCTCAAGTCCTGTGTCCAGTTGGGGGCCCCTTACTACGAGAAAGACAATGAGGTGCTGGAGTGGGTCCAGAGAAGAGCAATGAAGCTGGTGAGGGGTCTGGAGAGTAAGTCTTATGAGGAGAGGCTGAGGGAGCTGGGATTGTTCGTTCTGAAGAAGAGGAGGCTGAGGGGAGACCTTATCACGCTCTATAACTACCTGAAGGGGGGGTGTAGAGAGGTGGGGGTCTGTCTCGTCCCCCAGGTCACAGGAGATAGGACAAGGGGAAATGGCCTCAAGTTGTGCCAGGGGAGGCTTAGGATGGATATTAGGAAAAATTTTTACACTGAAGGGGTTATCCCGCATTGGAATAGGCTGCCCAGGGAAGTGGTTGAGGCACCGTCCCTGGAAGTGGTCAAAAAACGGGTTGACATGGTCCTCAGGAATATGGTTTAATGATTTTTTTATTGCTTATTTCTTATTTAGTTTTTTGTCACAGTCGGGTTGATGGTTGGACTAGATGATCTTTAAGGTCCCTTCCAACCTAGACGATTCTATGAGGAATAAATTACAGTTCTCAATGTAACTTTTTTTTTAGAGAAAAGGGCTGTTTGAGCTGTCATTCACATGGTGAATTGATATATAGATAGTTATGTAATGTTTCAATCAACTCATAGGCATGTTCCAAATTCTATTAATATAGCTACAAGATGTGCTTGTTCAGCTTCAGATCTGTTAAGCCAAATTGAATTTTCCCATACTGCTGGTGATTTCAGTGAATTTGAATTTGAGGCAAACATTTTAACTGGAGTGTATACATTTTTTGAGCTCTGGGAATATGTCTTGCAAGGTGACAACATTATGCCATTTATATCTTTTTTTTTTTTTTTTTGCAGTTAAGTGCTAGAATTCTTTAAGCTAAGTTCTCGTAAAAGTAGTGGTGGTTCATATTTTTTTCCCCATTTGTCTTGGTGAGCAATATTTTTGTTCACTGTCTGGTTTTGGCTAATGAAAACAATTAAGTATAATAGAATTATGTGCTTGAGGAAATAGAGCCAAATTGATCTCTGAGTTGTTCTGTTTACACCAGGATATTTACATCCTAGACAGCTTTGTCTATTGTATAAAGAATTCTGGGAAGGCTGCAAACTAGATCTGTTAAGTCAGTCACAGATGAGTGCAGACTGTTTTATTTTCACAGTCGGGACTAATGGTTGTTATCTAGTCTCCAGCCTATTATGACACGGTTTTGTTTTGTGTCTGTCTTTGACAGAGTGCTGTGTCTAGGAGCAAAGTGCCTAATCAGTTACACTGAAATGCTTGTTTTCCAGCACTGAACTGTACTGAAGTCAGACATGAGAAAAACATTTTTTTTTTCTTTAATCTTCCATTCTATTAAATAAATACTAATGTCCTACTAATATACTTACCAGTACAAAGCAAGGCCTATATTATTCTGTTTGCTGTCATTTTGAGCTTTAAACAGCAGCATTGTATTTCTTGCTGGTTCAACAGTTTCCAGACAGTGCTCAATGTGGTAAGTCACTATAATATGTAAGCATTTTCACTAGGTTAATTATATATGACTAAGCATTTCTTTGTACAATGACATTAAGTTTTGGAAAATTTTGTCAAACCATTTTCTATTTCCTAAAATGTTAACTGGTTCTGAAACTACTTTGAACAGAATGTTTCTCGGTACGCTGAGAGTGGGATACATCCCATCTGACTCTAACCAGTCAGTATTAATTACTGCAGAAACACAGTCCAAGATCTGTTCATTGACACAAAGCCCAGCAACACATTTGACCTGGATCAAATATGTGCACAAGATCACATATCTATTGAATTAGGCAGAGTACACATTACGAAGTTCACTACCTTTATGCTTTTACGCTATCTTTATGCCAGCCAATGGCAGGGAAATGATTAGAATACCTGGTTTGACACGGTAGCATTAGCTAATCAGTAGAAAAATAACCATTCAAAATTGTTACATTAGTTCAGTCCAGCAGAATGAATTCTGTAGTGGATCAGTGCTTTGAATAATGGGACTCTGATATTTTTGGTCCGTATTAGAAAACTGAAGGCTGCTGTGCCATTGACTCTTGACCTTAGTTGAAGCTGTGGTTCCAAAATGCCAGCTTAAGCAGTCTGTGCCCTCTTCAGCTTTCCTTGAGCTGCTTTTTTCCCCATCTCTGTATCATTCCTTTTGTTGTCAGTAAAACTATCCTGCAGCTCTGTGGTAAACCCATTGGGAAATTTATCTGGCTGAAAACCAGCTTTTTACCCCCTCATGTTCATCCAGATGAAGTCCCTGTGCCAGTTCACTGTTCCGTTGGGCAAACAATTGTACAAGTATGAATGGCCAAGAAAGAAAGAGCAAAGGTGAGATCCTGTTGCCTGAAGTGAAACCACAGCTGAAGGTGTTCTATTAGGAGGGAAGTCACTCCATGCTCCCTCTAGGTATGAGAGACAGACAGATGAAATGAGCAGATAATTCAGTCCACTTTCCAGTTTTAATTACCTTATTTAGGTGTCTATATTTTTTTGCTGGTTGTAGAGATATCCCAGGATGGCTGACTTCCTGGTAGGTCACTTGGCAAGTGCTGACAGCTGGTGGAATGAATTCAGCCCTAAAAGCTACAACTGCAGTTGGCTTGGAACTTTTAATCTCTTCTTTTGAATGAAGTCTTCCAAATTTCAAGAAAGCGTTTATTTCCTTTTCTCTAAATCCTGATTATCTCAAATATTTGCTTACGGCTTATCACTGTGTTTCACTCCTTGCCAGTCAAAGTACACAAATGGAAAAATGTTTCAAATTTCTGCAAACTTTATTCCAAAGGGCAAAATTATTACCAGTT